GAAAATAGCTTAGTTGTAAGCTTAAAAGATCGGGTTCGGATTTTAACATTTCTGACTGAATATCCTGAAATAAATATGAAACATTTAAATAAGCATTTCTTTGGGTTAAATTAAATATGTGTAGCACAAATTAAACTCCCAACATGCATTTTTAGAAGGGAAACACGACAATGAAAGCGAGAACTGTTTTTAATATACCGAAAATCGCTATTTCTGGAAACTGATTAATTCTAAATAAAAATCAAATAAATTCCAAATGTAAAAGAAAGAGAGAATGCTTCGTATTAAAATGTCGTACCATATCAGGAAAATCGAATGCTACTAACGACATCTGAAGAAATAGCCGATAAAAGGTTTAGATCATTTCTTCGTTCACCTGCACTTTAATTTCATACACAACAGAACTTGCAGTTCTTGCCGTGAAACTTCATGACTTCTATAAACTTATAAGACTCACCGTAAAACTCTCAAGAAAGTTTCTCTGAGGTCTATACTACATATGTACCAAGTATGTTGTCGATCCGAGGTCTGGTTTGAATTTTACAGAAATATTCTACGTTGTTGTTGATGTGATTTTTTTTAAGAAGGGGGGGGGGGGAATGAATTATTTATTTTATGCCTCTTTTAAACTAAGAATTGTAACTACTTTCACATCTTTAAGTCTGATTGTGACCTTTGGGTCAAGATCAAAGGTCAAGTTCATTTAAAAAAAAAAAAAACAAAAAAAAAAAAAAAAAAAAAAAAAAAAAAAAAACAAAACAAGGAAATCTTTACTTTCTATGTTTTTACCTGATACTGGAGCTGGATGCATGTCCTTACTTTTCATTTGACCCAATGTCAAGGCTAAAGGTCAAGGTCAAAGTTCAAGGTCATTTGGTGAATTGCTTTATTTTACACATATATAAGGAATTTCTTATGTTTTTAAATGACTTTGACCTTGACCTATATTTCAAGGTCAAAGTCAAACATGCCGATGCAGTTGGTCCCATGTCTCTAGGATACACCGTTTTAAAAAAGGTTCATTAAATGTAAGCAGCATAAACTTTCAGGGGCAGTAACTCATACAAGGGACCAAAGAATGCTTTTGCAATGATAGAATGAAGAGAGTATTAAATGAGTCGAAGACACTGCTGAAGGCTTGGAATCTCTACGCTTTACGGTTTCGGAGGAGTAGCGATAACAAGGTTTTATTGCAAAAGGGGTGACAACTTTTGAATGGGTCAAGCTTTGGGGACAAGAATGAAATCCTTAAAATAGTTTTAGAAGGACATATTATAGATGCAAAGATATTCAGTATATGTCGAAAGGTTTTCTACAGAATCTCTGACAAAAAAAGCTTTTAAAAATCAGCAAAAACTACCATACATGTTTTTAAAGAGAGAGAAGCCATTAGCAACTGAAAAAAAGAGAAAAACAAAGAAAAAAAAATTAACTACCTCCAGAAGGATTCGAACCCCAGACAGTGGGACAAAGTTTGGATCGGTCATATCTTTGCAATAAATGCACGCATCAAAATATTGAATACATATTTAGAATTCTTGTAAAACACTCTATAAACCTTGTAAATCCTAAAGCAAAATATTGAAAAACAAAAAAGTTGAAAAATTGAACTTTTTGAATTCACTTCCGTTTGCGACCGGAAGTGCCGACGACGAAAAATAAAGGTCGTTCCCCATATTGGAATTTGATGTTCTATTTATTCATTGAGTTTCAATTTCATATCTTTAGCCGTTGTCGAGAAAAATTCTGGACAAAATGCCATTTAAAAAATACAAATTTCCCCAAAAATCGCGAACAGAAGTGAATTTTGAAAAAATGAAAAACACGTCTGGAGATATTTACATGATGCATCTTCCGCGAAAAAATCTCTGAAATCTGCTCACTCACAGCTGAGATATCGCCATAACTATGAAAAAAAGAATAATAATAATAATAATAATAGAAAACAGACGGAAAACAATAAGGTCTTCCGAAGGAAGTCGGAAGACCTTAATAAAAAGGGACGGGTGTGCGTGAGAAAACGTTAACACTGTTCCCTAATGAAAATGTATTAATGGACTGTAGCCCGATTCATCGATATTGTGAGCATGCTGAATTTTTGGAAAATAGCTTAGTTGTAAGCTTAAAAGATCGGGTTCGGATTTTAACATTTCTGACTGAATATCCTGAAATAAATATGAAACATTTAAATAAGCATTTCTTTGGGTTAAATTAAATATGTGTAGCACAAATTAAACTCCCAACATGCATTTTTAGAAGGGAAACACGACAATGAAAGCGAGAACTGTTTTTAATATACCGAAAATCGCTATTTCTGGAAACTGATTAATTCTAAATAAAAATCAAATAAATTCCAAATGTAAAAGAAAGAGAGAATGCTTCGTATTAAAATGTCGTACCATATCAGGAAAATCGAATGCTACTAACGACATCTGAAGAAATAGCCGATAAAAGGTTTAGATCATTTCTTCGTTCACCTGCACTTTAATTTCATACACAACAGAACTTGCAGTTCTTGCCGTGAAACTTCATGACTTCTATAAACTTATAAGACTCACCGTAAAACTCTCAAGAAAGTTTCTCTGAGGTCTATACTACATATGTACCAAGTATGTTGTCGATCCGAGGTCTGGTTTGAATTTTACAGAAATATTCTACGTTGTTGTTGATGTGATTTTTTTTAAGAAGGGGGGGGGGGAATGAATTATTTATTTTATGCCTCTTTTAAACTAAGAATTGTAACTACTTTCACATCTTTAAGTCTGATTGTGACCTTTGGGTCAAGATCAAAGGTCAAGTTCATTTAAAAAAAAAAAAAACAAAAAAAAAAAAAAAAAAAAAAAAAAAAAAAAAAAACAAAACAAGGAAATCTTTACTTTCTATGTTTTTACCTGATACTGGAGCTGGATGCATGTCCTTACTTTTCATTTGACCCAATGTCAAGGCTAAAGGTCAAGGTCAAAGTTCAAGGTCATTTGGTGAATTGCTTTATTTTACACATATATAAGGAATTTCTTATGTTTTTAAATGACTTTGACCTTGACCTATATTTCAAGGTCAAAGTCAAACATGCCGATGCAGTTGGTCCCATGTCTCTAGGATACACCGTTTTAAAAAAGGTTCATTAAATGTAAGCAGCATAAACTTTCAGGGGCAGTAACTCATACAAGGGACCAAAGAATGCTTTTGCAATGATAGAATGAAGAGAGTATTAAATGAGTCGAAGACACTGCTGAAGGCTTGGAATCTCTACGCTTTACGGTTTCGGAGGAGTAGCGATAACAAGGTTTTATTGCAAAAGGGGTGACAACTTTTGAATGGGTCAAGCTTTGGGGACAAGAATGAAATCCTTAAAATAGTTTTAGAAGGACATATTATAGATGCAAAGATATTCAGTATATGTCGAAAGGTTTTCTACAGAATCTCTGACAAAAAAAGCTTTTAAAAATCAGCAAAAACTACCATACATGTTTTTAAAGAGAGAGAAGCCATTAGCAACTGAAAAAAAGAGAAAAACAAAGAAAAAAAAATTAACTACCTCCAGAAGGATTCGAACCCCAGACAGTGGGACAAAGTTTGGATCGGTCATATCTTTGCAATAAATGCACGCATCAAAATATTGAATACATATTTAGAATTCTTGTAAAACACTCTATAAACCTTGTAAATCCTAAAGCAAAATATTGAAAAACAAAAAAGTTGAAAAATTGAACTTTTTGAATTCACTTCCGTTTGCGACCGGAAGTGCCGACGACGAAAAATAAAGGTCGTTCCCCATATTGGAATTTGATGTTCTATTTATTCATTGAGTTTCAATTTCATATCTTTAGCCGTTGTCGAGAAAAATTCTGGACAAAATGCCATTTAAAAAATACAAATTTCCCCAAAAATCGCGAACAGAAGTGAATTTTGAAAAAATGAAAAACACGTCTGGAGATATTTACATGATGCATCTTCCGCGAAAAAATCTCTGAAATCTGCTCACTCACAGCTGAGATATCGCCATAACTATGAAAAAAAGAATAATAATAATAATAATAATAGAAAACAGACGGAAAACAATAAGGTCTTCCGAAGGAAGTCGGAAGACCTTAATTAGTTACCTTGATATCCGAAAAAAATACAAGTTACATTGATAAGAGCAAGTAATTACAATACGTTACGATGACAAGAGCAAGTAAGTACAATAAGTTACATTGATAAGAGCAAGTATTTACAATAAGTTACATTGATATCAGAAAATAATTACAATAATTTTCATTGATAAGAGCAAGAAATTACAATAAGTTACACTGATTTCAGAAAGTATTCACAGTAAGTTACAGACAAGTTTTCACAATAAATGTAATTTATATCAAAAAGTATTTCATGACGCGTCTCTTTGTTTCTTGTTTTCTGCATATCGAGATAAAAAAAAATCTTGCTGATTATCTCGGGGGAAAAAAATTAATATTATTTTTGAGGGAAAAGAAAAGAAAAATTGTAAACATAAAAATTCCACATTTCTTTTCATGAAATGGTCAATTTGAACAGATAAATGTTGATGAAAGCTTTTTTGATCTTTCACATAACCTTTTATGAATTTGATTTCAAGTATTTATTTACACTTTGTTCTCAGACAAACTAGTAAATATGAACTATGTCGTTTCATTAATTTTTCAATGGTTTCATAAAAAGAAATATAGTTAAGATATTTAGCGGTGCAGACATGCGACTTTAGACCAACTTTTCATATCGCCAGGTTTAATTATGATATTTTTATATTCACGATAAAATTTGTTTGTTTTCTAAATCACAAATTTGTGTCATAATCCTCTGTCTCTTTGTGAGAAAGAGGCGCTCAAACAAACGCCGAATTGAGCCAGACTTTCTCACGATTTCACGACGACACGAGGCGGCTTCCCGCCAAATCGAGGATAATGGCGCAGACGCACGGGTAATCGGCGTTTGAATGAAGTCAGTTGGGTATAAAATTGACTGTTCATCTGAAGGAAACTTACATCGTGAAAGCAGGTACAGTTCACACAACCCGCGCCTATCTTTTGAGAATCCTTTACAGGGTTCCAATGGTCGCCCTCTTTGTAAAAATGCTTGTTATCCACTGTGCAATTTGCGGCCTCTGGAAAAAAGAAAAGAAATTCAACTTAATTATTTAATATCACCTATTGATAAAATGAATTGAATAAAACTATTCTGTTTTGTCTCTGAAAAATTGAATACCGTTTATTTTGTTTATTTTCATGTAGGTGTATTGTGTTCTGTTGTAAAACTTCGTTTGTTAACATATTTCAAAAGCGCTTTCACAATGACAGGCTTTTAAAGTGTTGAATTACGAATTGATGTTCGTTTTTAAATTCCTTTATTGATTCCAGAGAAGATCAATTACACAAGACTCTTGATGCTTGTCATTCTGTAACAGGGACATTTTTATAATTGATTTTATAAATTTAAAAATAATCACCTAAATTTGAACGGATCGGCGCGTGGGGGCGCCAGCAGCGCCGAGCTCTCTCTGCGTGAGAGCAGACGAGAATTTGAACGATCAATCAATGCAATGGCAGAATGCATTTACACAAACTTTTGAACTTTGTACACTAGTGTTGCCGACTGTTAGTCGGTGTCTTAACACAACAAAGGCTTGAATAAAAAACCTGCTCCGTAATAACAAGTTATAATGTGTTAAGTTTACGACATAAACAGCAGGGTTTACTCCAACGCACCTCATCACCTTCCGGTTACAACATACACAAGGTCGCGTGCACTCGTATAGAAACCTTTCCCGGGAAAAAGCTCGCTCTCTATTTTTAAAAGATGAACAGGGAGAAACCGAGGGGAGCATGAATTATCAAGAATTACCAATAAAATTCAGGTCAATATTTTTATGTTGGGTGGGGAACAAAGGAAAAAACGGGTAAAATTCTCTTAGATGTTTAAGATATAGAGCCCTGTGATTCCCCGCCCTCCAGAAAACTGGACCTTCCCATATTGTGTTACTGAGGCCGAAGTATACTATGTTTAAGACTGTTATTGAATTTGATAGGATTTTCGGTAAATTGATCAGCATTTTTTGAATTCTATTTTTCGACTTATTTTATTTATTAAATCTTTCATTGAATTAAAATGATATTCAATGTCAGTTTGACTTAGGCCTATCGGTTTCGCTTGATTATATCTTAGTAAATAACTCCAATCTTTGGTTAAAAGATTGCTATTTAATCTATATTAAATATATTTGGGCGTGACTTTTTCATAAATTATTTTTTAAAATGGGAATTGTAACATTATTGAATGAGTTTAAAGAACCAATGACCTAGGAAATCCGCCTGTCTGTATGCAATAATTCATAGTTGTCCGCTTCGTTACATTTTGTAAAATACCCTTTAAAAAGTGAATTTAAAATACACCAGCTATAAGAGGAGTAAAATTTCGGACATATTTCTAATGTCAGCAAGAGTCTCCTCATTGAGACACAAATCTTAAACAAAAAGATTCGTTATCGCGCCAATCAATGACAAAGACTAGTCTTACTATTACTTATCGTTCTTACTGATAGGAAAACGTCGCCTCTTAGATGCCCATTCCGATAAAATATGATCTTTTCAATTTATGTAAATAAAACACTGGTCACCTGGTCGATCCTTTTTATTTTCTTTTTTTATGTTTGCATTGTTTAGATAATGTATTAACATTTTTGGTAATTGTTCTAGACTTATAGTGGCAGATGCCGGAACTGATAAAACGCAAGTTTTTACGTCAAATTGAGACAGGGCTGGGCTTAAGAGCGAAGGAGTTAGGGAATTAAACCCAAGTAAATTAAAAGGTTTTGTTTTGTGTGTGTAATCTGTCTAAGGAACAATCGTCCGTTGATTAGAGTCGGTCCCCCACTCGAGACAGCAAGGGCCATGGAGTAGTGATAGGGATGGCGGACAGAATACGACAATTTCAAAAGGTTTGGCAGACGATTGGAAGCACGCGACTCCAGGGAAACGTCGCCAGGTGTGAATTTCTTCTCGTCTGTTGGTCACGAGGGCGCTCTCTGAGCGAGATGTTGGGCTGAGCCTTGATCGATAACATCGCGAGTATGGGTTTATCGCATTAACATGACATTTCATGGCATGCACTCTGATTATTTTATAAGCAGGTAAACAGACTTATTATGGGGGTGATAATGTTTACCTGTTGAGGGTCTACTGCCACTAGATAATATTGAATACAATTGTAAATCAATTAAAAAATGCCCATCCGTCTAGGTCAAGGGAAAACAAGCAATATTATTCATCATAGTGTTAATATGTGTATTTACCAGAAAATTTCATAAAAATTATATATATCGAGTGTCAACCGAATTAGAAAAATCAATTTACGCTAAAGAACAATTACTAGAAAAAGCGCCATCAAAAAGAAATATATAACACTGCGATGAAAAAATAAATAGATTTAACCGAGAAAGGAAGACAAAACAATGTATTCTGAACGGAATTTTATAAGAATTATAATTTATCAGTCATATTTTTCTACATATTTTGTTAAAATGAACCTTTGCTTATATAGACGTTTTATTTCATATATAATAGGATTTTGTAATAATTACATGTTGAGAAAATTTTCAGAGTACATACTTGAAATTCTTTTATGACTTTTTTTTTTAATTCGTCTGTTTCTTTTCACTTATTTTAAATATTTACTACCGAAAATAACGATTTGATGTTTTGAAAACATTTTCTGGGCACTTAAAAATAAATTCTTCAAGTAACAGCGACTGACTGGAATGATTTAGAAACTCCTTGTAAGGTTTTATCATGAAGCAAACTGGATGCATTACACAAAGTATATCACTATTCACTGGTAGTAAATATATCTTTGTTACTGAGATTGTCATAAAAGGCAATAAATTAAAGTTAATTTGATGCCTCGAAGAATATCGACCAATTAAAGTTAAAGATAGCACTAATGTACGAAAAGAAACATTTAGTTTTTATTTGGCGAAAAACTGGCGACTTTGAAAATAGTTATAGAGTCCTTGCAATCTATTTATCATTTCTCGGTGTCTAGAAATGAATTACAAGCCCACCTACCAATGACATTCTTCATGGGACTGTTGCAAAAAAACAACATTTTAGTTTATTGGGGGTAAAATCTGAGTAAATTAAAGTCTGAATATAAAACGTTTTGAAATAATAAAACATTTTTATTCTTAAAGTAATATGACATTATACTATGTATACCTTCTTCCTACGTGTTCAAAATTTGAAAAGTCTCTGTTTTCTTGAATGAATAGCAGTCTTTCAAAATAAAACTAAAATTTTTGCGGAATCTTCTCACACTAATTAAACTATAAAGTGGCAATGTTATAATTATGAGTGCGATAAGTAAATTTGGTTTTTGGAGCCGATAAATTACCTCTAATGATCGATTGACAAGTTAAATTGTCGTCAGACAATAGGGAATACACCGTGTATAGCGTCCGTAAACACCGTGCAGGAACCTCAGACTATCTTCTGATCGGCTAATTACCAAAAAACACGACTGACGATATAGGTAAAAAAATAGGTAAAAAGCTACTTCTCTGCTCCAGACTAGACAGGAGTGTAATGCTATTCCAAATTACTGTTTTATTGTTCAAGACATTTTTCTTCCCTGAATTAGCCTTTCCCCCCAATCCCCATATATCAAATAATCTGAATAGATTCTGCGTGTTTTCAGAAGTGCGAAGCGTTCGTTTATTATATTGTCGATGTATTATTGCAAAAAGCTTATGTCAAACACGCTTTAGCAGTTTCCATATAATTCTTTTTGTTGATAAGGAGATCGAAAGAGGCAAACAAGTATTCAGAATACCTAGTAAATCAGCTTCTATTTGGGCAATAGAAAGGATTTTATGCGTTCATAAGTTATTCGCATACATGTAATGTTTGAGAAAAGAAAGAGAAAGCTCGTTAGCGGAAGAGTATATTTTTCAAATATTTTTTGTATAATTTTAATTTCAAGTCGACACAGATAAGAAAAGCCAGAAAAAAAAACGAGTTACTTTGACGGATGCCAAATAATCACCATTCAGGGGTGACAACCAGTTAAGAGGTGCGTGAATAATGTTTCTGTACATTGTCTTTTGAAAGCCGATAAAATTTCCTTCCACAGATGCTTTCACTTGAAATCTATAGAATAAAAATCAAAATCTCTCCTCGTTTACTATAGAAGGGAACCAACAATCGTATTATTCAGCCACTCAGCCAATAAACCTCCGTGTTATCTGTTTCTCTGATCATCATATCCATAAGAAATCTAAGCTATTCGATTTCAATTGATGATTCCTACATAAAACACATCAACAGAGCAATTGACTTCGCAGGTTTTACTTGCTGAGAGTAAGAGCTGTGTTTAAGATAGCAATCGTCAGTTAAACTTCAGAAGAAGAAAGATTCTTTTCACTTTAAGTAAAAGCTTTAAATTCGATATGATCATTACATAGACTGATAATATCTTTTGAAATTGGAAGCTACATTATAGATATAAAAAAATACCTTACCTGTAGAAATTATTCCACAAATGATAATTGTTATAACCGCTAAGCTTTTCCACATGTTATCTAAACAAAAGAACCACAAATACAGTTTAGGTCTACATGGAAAAAGTCAGGCATGTCCTATGTATCCAACGGGACCTGTTAACTAAATACTGGGGACCTTATGAACACAGTCCGTCATATGCAGTGTTTTCTGGAGTTAAATCGCTAAATACTCTATTGAATATATATATCACACAGTCCTGAAAAACTTTTCTTCTAATATTGAGATAATTGAAATTCAGAAGAGCCAATCACCATTGGTCACGTGACTGCCCGCCTAGGGAGGTCCAAAACCCAATACCCAAACTAAATTTTCAAAGATAAATTAAGGCATTTATTTTCCAATCAAACTTCGCCATACACAGATTTTTTTCTTGCTGGCGTCTTTATATTGCTGTGTCTGTTTTTAAAAATTTGACGCGCACTTGTTTATTAGGACTCCATTTAATAACGTTAAACTATCGTATTAGTCCTAACTTTAACAGTATAGAAATAAAAGACCGATTTGTCTAGTAAATCTACGAGCTAACTGTGATGATAAAGTGATTTTTTAACATCCCGTCGATTGCCTGGCGCCCACGAATGGATCTTTTCTTATTTAATATGTATATAAGGAAATGTCGGCGTTACGGGTTTTATACAATTATCCTAATATACTGAAATCATTTAACTTAACGAGATTTTGTAATACTATCTTTCGAAATTTAGCATAGACATTTGTTTTAAAAACAAAATAAGTAATAATTTAGAGTAAGCAGCATTGGAATGAAAAAATATTTTTCCTACAAGAAGGGAACTAAAAGATAAAGAAGTAAACATGGTTGGATTTTTAAAGTGAATACAGTATATGATTATTTTCTTCACATTTTAGATTTATTTATTAATTTTTCTTTTCTGTTGGGAAAATATTTAAAAAAAATAATAAAAATCAGAAGATCAAAAAGATAAAATTCGAAGGCGAAAGATATTTGGATATTTTTCAAAAAGTAAACACTCAGAGAACAGGATGTGTGTTCTTGGGTTACTGTTGCGTTGTGTTATTTTACAAAAGTCACTACTAAACCTTTATTTTTGTAGAAATATTAAAGGTTTTAATCACGATATTTTATTCATTTCGTTGCTTGACTTGATGAGGAATGGAGAGGGGTGCACTTCTCAGCTTTTTAAGAAATTTATGGACAAAGAAAGATAACTACTGAAAATGCTATGTAGTATAGGAGTTTTTTTTTTGGTATTATCTCGCTTTTATAAATTATGTACTAGTATACTAACAAATGATAAATACATGGTGTATCGTTGCATCATTCACTCCCTATTCGAGGAAGTCGCCCAATTCCAATTCTTCAATTTTAATTTACACAGGATTCAAACTCCAAACTTTCCATCTTAAACGAATTTCCATCTCTTGCATTTTTAAAAATTTCTTACATCTAAACATTATTTTGGCTATCTCTATACTAATGCCTTTTATCTCTGGCGTACAGAATATGAATTATAGATAGTTATTAGTTATACTGAAGTGTAGTCACGAGAAACAGTACAATCAAGCTCTAGTTATACTAAATAGTCACTAGGACCAGTACAGTCAAGCTTAAGTTATAATAAAGTGTAGTTACTAGGACCAGTACAGTCAAGCTTAAGATATACTGAAGTGTAGTCATACTGAAGTGAAGACATTGGGACCAGTACAGTCAAGCTCAAGTTATACTGAAGTGTAGTCACCTAAGACCAGTACAATCAAACTCAAGTTATACTGAAGTGTAGTCACTAGGACCAGTACAGTGAAGCTCAAGTTATACTGAATAGTCACTAAGACCAGTACAGTCAAGCTTAAGATATATCGAAGTGTAGTCACTAGGATCAGTAGAATCAAACTCAAGTTATACTGAAGTGTAGTCACTAGAAACTGTCACACGCAAGTTATACTGAAGTGTAGTCACTAGGACAAGTACAGTCAAGCTCAAGTTATACTCAAGTGTAGTCACTAGGACCAGTACATTCAAGCTTAAGTTATACTGAATTGTAGTCACTAGGACGAGTACAGTCAAGCTCAAGTTATACTGAAGTGTAGTCACTAAGACCAGTACAGTCAAGCTCAAGTTATATTGAAGTGTAGTCACTAGAACTAGTACAGTCAAGCTCAAGTTATACTGAAAAGTAGTCAATAGGACCAGTACAGTCAAACTCAAGTTATACTGAAGTGTAGTCACTAGGACTAGTACAGTCAAGCTTAAGATATACTGAAGTGTAGTCACTAGGACCAGTACAGTCAAACTCAAGTTTTACTGAAGTGTAGTCACTAGGACTAGTACAGTCAAGCTTAAGTTATACTGAAGTGTAGTCACTAGGACCAGTGCAGTCAAGCTCAAGTTATACTGAAGCGTAGTCACTAGGACCAGTACAGGCAAACTCAAGTTATACTGAAGTGTAGTCACGAGGACCAGTGCAGTTAAGTACAAGTTATACTGAGGTGTAGTCACTTAGACCAGTGCAGTCAAGCTTAAGTTAAACTGAACTGTAGTCACTAGGACCAGTACAGTCAAGCTCGTTATATTGAAGTGTAGTCACGAGAACCAGTACAGACAAGATCAAGATATACTGAAGTGTAGTCCTAGAACCAGTATAGTCAAGCTCAAGTTATATTGAAGTATAGTTACACAACTAGTACAGTCAATCTCAAGTTATATTGAAGTGTAGTCATGAGAACCAGTACAGACATGCTCAAGTTATACTGAACCGTAGTCACCAGGTCAAGTACAGTCAAGCTCAAGTTATACTGAAGTGTAGTCACTAGGACCAGTAGAGTCAAACTCAAGTTATACTGAAGTGTAGTCACTAGAACCAGTACAGTCAAGCTCAAGTTAACTGAAGTGTAGTCACTAGGACCAGTACAGTCAAACTCAAATAATACTGAGGTGTAGTCACTAGGACCAGTACAGTCAAACTCAAGTTATACTGAAGTGTAGTCACTAGAACCAGTACAGTCAAGCTCAAGTTATACTGAACCGTAATCACTAGAACCAGTACAGTCAAGCTCAAATTATACTGAGGTGTAGTCACTAGGACCAGTACCGTCAAATTCAAGTTATGCTGAACTGTAGTCACTAGGACCAGTACAGTCAAGCTCAACTTATACTAAAGTGTAGTCACTAGGACCAGTAGAGACAAACTCAAGTTAAACTGAAGTGTAGTCACTAGAACCAGTACAGTCAAGCTCAAGTTAACTGAAGTGTAGTCACTAAGACCAGTACAGTCAAGCTCAAGTTATACTGAAGTGTAGCCACTAAGACCAGTACAGTCAAGCTCAAGTTATACTGAAGTGTAGTCACTAGATCCAGTACAGTCAAGCTCAAGTTAACTGAAGTGTAATCACAAGGACCAGTACAGTCAAACTCAAGTTATACTGAGGTGTAGTCACTAGGACAAGTACAGTTAAGCTCAAGTTATACTGAAGTGTTGTCACTAATTTAGGTAGTTATATTGAAGTGTAGGCACTGGGACTAGTACAGTCAAGTTCAAGTTATACTGAAGTGTAATGACTTGGACCAGTACAGTCAATCTCAAGTTATACTAAGTGTAGTCACTACGTCCAGTACAGTCAAGCTCAAGTTATACTGAACTGTAGTCACTAGGACCAGTACAGTCAAGCACAATTTATACTGAAGTGTAGTCACTTATTAAGAAAGTTATACTAAAGTGTAGTCACTAAGACCAGTACAGTCAACCTCAAGTTAAACTGAAGTGTAGTCACTAGGACCAGTAAAGTCAAGCTCAATTTATACTGAACTATAGTCACTAAGAATAGTACAGTCAAACTCAAGTTATACTAAAGTGTAGTAACTAAGACCAGTACAGTCAAACTAAAGTTATACTGAAGTGTAGTCACTAGGACCAGTACAGTCAAGCTCAAGTTATACTAAAGTGTACTCACAAGGACCAGTACAGTCAAGCTCAAGTTATACTGAGGTGTAGTCACTTAGACCAGTACACTCAAACTCAAGTTATACTGAAATGTAGTCACTTAAATCAGTACACTCACACTCATGTTATACTGAAGTGTAGTCACTAGCACCAGTACAGTCAAACTCAAGTTGTACTGAACTTTAGTCACCAGGACCAGTACAGTGAACTCAAGTTATACTGAAGTTGAGTCACTAATTGAGAAAAAAAAGTCGGTGATATAGCGGAATCATACGAATTCTTGTGATTATTGCGACTTTTACAGATAAAGATAAAAATTTAAGGAAATTACAGAGCATTATTACTGATTATTAATAGTGTCATTGTAGTTTTATTTTACCAGAAATGACCGATGCCGGAAAATCATGGAATTTTCAGAAACTTACCAGATATTATATTCGTAAGAAAATTACTGCTTCTCCGACATATGATATACTACTGGAAGTTAACATTACTGGTGTCATCATTATCTGCAACAAAAAGTAATAATAAAGGTCTTGAATGCAGACGCCCTGTCTTAATCGTCATGTCCGTTCATTTGTTAACGCATTTACATACAATATACTTATTTGTTATCTTGGGCACAGACTTCAAATTTACTACATAAATGTTGGTCGAGAACATCTACAGTTTTAGTGATTTCAGATGGTGAGAATTATAGAAATGGCAGTTATTTGTGATATAGTGCTTTGAAATGAAATATATGGAGATAACGAACAGTATTTAAGCTCAGAAGTCCATTAAACAATACAAAATAGCAAAACATCAGAGGTGGGATCAGGTGCCATGGATGAGTGAGCATCCCCTGCCGACCGGTCACACCCGCCGTGTGCTCCTTGTCATGATCAGGAAATAACGGACAAATCCGTCGACAATTCAGTGTGTAAATAATGGCCGAACAATTAGTATGTTTGTTTGTTTGTTTGTTGTTTAACGTCCCTCTCGAGAATTTTCCACTCATATAGAGACGCCACCACTTGCCGGTGGAGAGCTGCAAATTTTGTCCTATACTCGGCACTTACGGCCATTGAGCAGTGAGGGATCTTTTTCGTGCCAGCACCTACTGCGACACGGGACCTCGGTTTATACGGTCTCATCCGAAGGACCGGTCTCCACGTCCCACAGTGGGATTCGAACCCGCGACGTAAGGATCAACTCCTTACTTCGCGACTCTAGAGCAGACGCTCTAACCACTGCGCCAC